ATTATCATGATTACATAATTAAAAAAATTGAAAAGTTGAAAATCATTTAGATAATTGGAATTAAAAAAAAAAACTTTGATGTGCTGTAGCTTAAAATCCAGACGTGATAGAACAAAGGAGATGAGATAAGGATGATCAGCGATCATCAAAGGATGAGATGTATACTGAAAGGTGTAAACTACTTCTTAGTGTATGTATAATGAGTATACTTTAGGAGCCAAGTATACTTGCTGATTGGTCAGTAAGCTGATGTGGTGTTGTTAATAACCCTCGGAGGTTAATAGTCCTTAATAACCCTCCAGAGGTTGATAGGTCTTAATAACCCTCCAGAGGTTGATGGGTCTTAATAACCCTCCAGAGGTTGATAGGTCTTAATAACCCTCCAGAGGTTGATAGGTCTTAATAACCCTCCAGAGGTTGATAGGCCTTAATAACCCTCCAGAGGTTGATAGGTCTTAATAACCCTCAAGAGGTTGATGGGTCTTAATAACCCTCCAGAGGTTGATAGGTCTTAATAACCCTCCAGAGGTTGATGGGTCTTAATAACCCTCCAGAGGTTGATAGGTCTTAATAACCCTCCAGAGGTTGATAGGTCTTAATAACCCTCCAGAGGTTGATGGGTCTTAATAACCCTCCAGAGGTTGATAGGTCTTAATAACCCTCCAGAGGTTGATAGGTCTTAATAACCCTCCAGAGGTTTATGGGTCTTAATAACCCTCCAGAGGTTGATAGGCCTTAATAACCCTCCAGAGGTTGATAGGTCTTAATAATCCTGCAGAGGTTGATAGGTCTTAATAACCCTCCAGAGGTTGATAGGTTTTAATAATCCTGCAGAGGTTGATAGGTCTTAATAACCCTCCAGAGGTTGATAGGTCTTAATAATCCTGCAGAGGTTGATAGGTCTTAATAACCCTCCAGAGGTTGATAGGATTTAATAATCCTCCAGAGGTTGATAGGTCTTAATAACCCTCCAGAGGTTGATAGGTCTTACTAACCCTCCAGAGGTTGATAGGTCTTACTAACCCTCCAGAGGTTGATAGGTTTTAATAACCCTGCAGAGGTTGTTAGGCCTTAATAACCCTCCAGAGGTTGATAGGTCTTAATAACCCTGCAGAGGTTGTTAGGCCTTAATAACCCTCCAGAGGTTGATAGGTCTTAATAACCCTCCAGAGGTTGATAGGTCTTAATAACCCTCCAGAGGTTGATAGGTCTTAATAACCCTCCAGAGGTTGATAGGCCTTAATAACCCTCCAGAGGTTGATAGGTCTTAATAACCCTCCAGAGGTTGATGGGTCTTAATAACCCTCCAGAGGTTGATAGGTCTTAATAACCCTCCAGAGGTTGATGGGTCTTAATAACCCTCCAGAGGTTGATAGGTCTTAATAACCCTCCAGAGAGTTTAACAGGCCGTAAAGTCCAATACCAAATTCTACAAATAAAATAAAGAACAAATTCGTACCCAGCTTCGTCACATTCGTACAGATAACATCCTATCGTCCAGGGGTCAGATTCACGAAAGTACTTACGCAAGCACTTACGAACGTGTACATCTTTCCACAATCTTTGACGGCTTTGGTTACATTTATTAAACAGTTTACAAGCATGAAAACTTGCCAATCAACTGTTGTTATTGTTATAAACAGCCTCCTGGTGCTTCGGAGCTCATTAACTGTTTAATAATTGTAAACAAAGCCGCCAAAGATTGAGTAAAGATGTACAGGTTCGTAAGTGTTTGCGTAAGTGCTTTCGTGAATCAGGCCCCACGAAGCTGGACGCAAGATAAGATTAAAGGCGAAGGTATGAATGGAAGCTTTACAGAGGGACACATAACCGGACACATAACCGGACACATAACCGGACACATAACCGGACACATAACCGGACACATAACCGGACACATAACCGGACACATAACCGTAGCAATGTGTAGAAACATCCCTTTAGCGGCGAAGATCACACAATAAAATAGTAGATGCCAATGAACAAATCCACAAGGGCCGTGACGAGGATTCGAACCTGCGTCCAGGAGCATCCCAGACTCTGCCTTAATCGACTGAGCTACGGATGCTCCTGGACGCAGGTTCGAATGCTCGTCACGGCCCTTGTGGATTTGTTCATTTGATGCATCACGTTAGTGTGATCTCTGTGTGTGATAGTAGATGCCAACTCCATCTAGAATATCAAACTTAGATACGAAAGACTTGAGGCATTGCATTAAACGACCGAACCGACATCTAAACAGGCAGAGCCCAAGAGCCGCAGCTTGACCCTACAGGCCCAAATAGATGAGTACAAACAGTGACACTTTCTTAGGCACTCCGAGAACAAGCAGAGAGCCACATTTAAGGAGATAATATGCAAATTAGAGAACAAACAATTAATTAAGCTCCAAGTATTCAACCCCCTCCCCTGAAGGGGTAGTGTGGGAGCGTGGGAACTTGAGATTAGACAGATGATTTAGTAATGTGAGCATCGTGGAGCGTGAAGGGTGCTCCAGAGGTCAGATGGAATATTGGGATGCTGCATCTTCGTCTGCTGGGGTGAGATGAGGTGCCTCTGCTTCTTCGCCTGCTGGGGTCAGATGAGATGCCTCTGCTTCTTCGCCTGCTGGGGTGAGATGAGATGCCTCTGCTTCTTCGTCTGCTGGGGTGAGATGAGATGCCTCTGCTTCTTCGTCTGTTGGGGTGAGATGAGATGCCTCTGCTTCTTCGTCTGCTGGGGTGAGATGAGATGCCTCTGCTTCTTCGTCTGCTGGGGTGAGATGAGATGCCTCTGCTTCTTCGTCTGTTGGGGTCAGATGAGATGCCTCTGCTTCTTCGTCTGCTGGGGTCAGATGAGATGCCTCTGCTTCTTCGTCTGCTGGGGTGAGATGAGATGCCTCTGCTTCTTCGTCTGTTGGGGTCAGATGAGATGCCTCTGCTTCTTCGTCTGCTGGGGTGAGATGAGATGCCTCTGCTTCTTCGTCTGCTGGGGTGAGATGAGATGCCTCTGCTTCTTCGTCTGTTGGGGTCAGATGAGATGCCTCTGCTTCTTCGTCTGCTGGGGTCAGATGAGATGCCTCTGCTTCTTCGTCTGCTGGGGTGAGATGAGATGCCTCTGCTTCTTCGTCTGTTGGGGTCAGATGAGATGCTTCTGCTTCTTCGTCTGCTGGGATGAGATGAGATGCCTCTGCTTCTTCGTCTGCTGGGGTCAGATGAGATGCCTCTGCTTCTTCGCCTGCTGGGGTCAGATGAGATGCCTCTGCTTCTTCGTCTGCTGGGGTGAGATGAGATGCCTCTGCTTCTTCGTCTGCTGGGGTGAGATGAGATGCCTCTGCTTCTTCGTCTGTTGGGGTCAGATGAGATGCCTCTGCTTCTTCGCCTGCTGGGGTCAGATGAGATGCCTTTGCTTCTTCGTCTGCTGGGGGTGAGATGAGATGCCGCTGCTTCTTCTAAGAGTCAAGTGAGATACAACTGGTTGCAAAGACATTTGGAATGCTTCTGGGGAGGATAGAAGCCTGGATGCTGATAGACAGATCAGATAGAATGCTGGTTAGGGGTCAGCTAAGGTGATGGAGGTTTTGAGGTAGGGATAGGATGCTGCGGGTTGGGTGGTTAGTTGGAATGTTGCTGGTAAGTCAAATGAGACGTGGGTGGGGGGGAAAGGGTTAGATGAGATGCTGGAGGCTGCGGGATCAGATAAGATGCTGGAGGCTGTGGGATCAGATAAGATGCTGGAGGCTGTGGGATCAGATAAGATGCTGGTGGCTGTGGGATCAGATAAGATGCTGGAGGCTGTGGGATCAGATGAGATGCTGGAGGCTGTGTGATCAGATAAGATGCTGGAATCATGTAAACTTTTATAATAAATCAATCAATCACTCTCTCTCTCTCTCTCTCTCTCTCTCTCTCTCTCTCTCTCTCTCTCTCTCTCTCTCTCTCTCTCTCTCTCTCTCTCTCTCTCTCTCCATCATAAATGTTCGTCTCTCCCACTCATCTTTCTCTGTTTCTCTCCATTTCTCCCTGTTCCACTTCTCCCCTCCCCCCCACCTACCCCCCCACCCCCCACCCCTTTACCATCTCATATAAACACAAGTGAATCATAATGTAGTGTGCGGGGGCAAGAGTGTGCTACCCTCTAAGGTGCTTGAAGGTCGGCGGTCGTGCGTCTTGGCTGGGTGAGAATCCCCCGTACGACCCGCTGTGCCTAGCGGCCAGGATGCTCTCACCGAGTGAACAGTTCGGCTTTTAGTATGAGGATGAACCATATTGGTCTTGTTTGTTGGTATGGCGTTATCTTGAGGTTATCTTGAGGTTATCTTGAGATGATTTCGGGGCTTTTTAGTGTCCCCGCGGCCCGGTCCTCGACCAGGCCTCCACCCTCCAGGAAGCAGCAGCCCGTGACAGCTGACTAACACCCTGGTAATTCGGCGTGGGGTGTGGCGCAGGTTATAGGGAGGATATTGGTCAGTTCATACCGCAGGATGGAGTGATAGATAAGAGTGAAGGATAGATAATATATGGGTGTTCAGAGTGCCAGGAACATGATTTATCATTGTGTTTATCTCCCTATCTCCCTACCCATCTCTCTCTCCCTCCTTCTCTCTCTCCCTCCTCCTCTCTCTCCCTCCTTCTCTCTCTCCCTCCTTCTCTCTCTCCCTCCTTCTCTCCTTCTCTCCCTCTCTCTCTCTCCCTCTAGCATCACCACGCTCACCAATGTTGTTATGAGCGATATTAGTCCTTATAGCCATCCGCATAATGGTCACTTCAACAAAGCGCTATTTAATCCCGTCTTGCTGCAAATCTCAGCCTTACAGCACATCATTTTTGGCTTACTTTTATTTATATGTGTGTGTGTGTGTGTGTGTGTGTGTGTGTGTGTGTGTGTGTGTGTGTGTGTGTGTGTGTGTGTGTGTGTGTGTGTGTGTGTGTATGTGTGTGTAAGATCACAAAATACATGGAATCACAGCATCTCCATAACCCCGGACAACATGGTTTCAGAACAGGGCGCTCTTGCCTGTCGCAGTTGCTGGACCACTATGATATGGCATTAGATGCTTTGGAAGACAAACAAAACGCTGATGTAATTTACACAGATTTCGCAAAAGCTTTTGATAAATGTGACCATGGCGTTATTGCACATAAAATGCGTTCAAAAGGAATTACCGGGAAAATAGGCAGATAGATCTACAATTTCCTGACTGACAGAACCCAATGTGTAATAGTCAACAAAATAAAATCCAGCCCATCAACCGTGAAGAGCTCAGTCCCCCAGGGTACTGTGCTTGCTCCAGTACTTTTTCTCATCCTCATATCGGACATAGACCAGAACACAACCTATAGCACTGTATCATCCTTTGCAGATGACACTAGGATCTTCATGAGAGTTGGCAACATAGAGGACACGGCAAACCTCCAATCAGATGTAGATCAGGTCTTTCTATGGGCTACAGAAAATAATATGGTATTCAACGAGGATAAGTTCCAGCTCATGCGCTACGGAAAAATTGAAAATATAAAAACAGAAACCACGTACAAAACGCAGGCAAATCATAACATAGAACGAAAAGGCAATGTAAAGGACCTGGGTGTACTCATGTCGGAAGACCTTACCTTTAAAGAACACAATAAAGTAGCCGTCACAACTGCAAGAAAAATGACAGGTTGGATAACAAGAACTTTTCACACTAGAGATGCTATACCGATGATGATACTTTTCAAAACGCTTGTGCTCTCTAGAGTGGAGTACTGCTGCACAATGACAGCCCCTTTCAAAGCTGGAGAAATTACTGACCTGGAGAGCGTGCAGAGATCCTTTACTGCTAGAATCCACTCAGTAAAACATCTAAATTACTGGGACCGACTAAAGAGCCTAAATCTGTACTCCCTTGAGCGCAGGCGGGAGAGATACATAATAATTTACACGTGGAAAATAATTGAGGGCTGGTCCCAAACCTGCACACAGAAATAACACCACATGAGACCAGAAGACATGGCAGGATGTGCAGAATACCCCCGTTGAAAAGCAGAGGTGCAACAGGTACTCTGAGAGAGAACTCTATCAACATCAGAGGCCCGAGACTGTTCAACACGCTTCCACTACACATAAGGGGCATAACTGGCCGACCCCTCACAGTGTTCAAGAGAGAACTGGATAAGCACCTCCAAAGGATACCTGATCAACCAGGCTGTGACTCATACGTCAGGCTGCGAGCAGCCGCGTCCAACAGCCTGGTTGATCAGTCCAGCAACCAGGAGGCCTGGTCGACGACCGGGCCGCGGGGACGCTAAGGCCCGGAAGCACCTCAAGGTAGCCTCAAGGTGTGTGTGTGTGTGTTGTGTGGTGTGTGTGTGTGTGTGTGTGTGTGTGTGTGTGTGTGTGTGTGTGTGTGTGTGTGTGTGTGTGTGTGTGTGTGTGTGTAGTTTGACGAAAGTAGAGTTTGTGATATATAAACAAATCCACGAAGGGCCGTGACGAGGATTCGAACCTACGTCCGAGAGGATCCCAGACGCTGCCTTAATCGACTGAGCTACGACATGGTCAAAAGAAGAAACAAAATGTGACGCCTGATGCGGAAAACTTACGCCGCGGTTGGACTATGCAGTTTGGGGAGTAATGCAGTTTTGGGCAATGCGCTCGGAAAGTGGGGTGGGGAGGGGGGGGGGTGTATTACTCGTGTGAAGGAGTAATACAGTTTGGGGATCCGGTGTTGTGCTGTAACTCGGGTGGAGAGGTGACTGGCTTCTTGAGATGTATTCACCTAGTTGTATTCACCTAGTTGTATCCACCTAGTTGTATTCACCTAGTTGTGCTTGCGGGGGTTGAGCTCTGCTCTTTCGGCCCGCCTCTCAACTGTCATTTAATTAACTGGTACTAACTTTTAGCTAACTATTTTTTTCACACACACACACACACACACACACACACACACACACACACACACACACACACACACACACACACACACACACACACACACACACACACACACAGGAAGCAGCTTGTAACAGGTGTCTTAACACCCAGGTACCTATTTACTGCTAGGTAAGTTGGGCATCAGAGTGAAAGAAACTGCCCATTGTTTCTCGCCGGCGCCGGGAATCGAACCCGGGCCACAGGATTACGTGTCCAGCGTGCTGTCCACTTAGCCACCGGCCCTCCCTTCCCCCACCAGTGGCCGAGATGTGAGGGACGTATGTGGTCTCTGTCTGTCTGTCTTGTCTCTCCCGCATTCTGTCTGTCTGTCTGTCTCTTTCACACACACACACACACACACACACACACACACACACACACACACACACACCACACACACACACACACACACACACACACACACTGAGAGTACCCACATGAGCCACAGAGACGTTAGAAGGAACTTTTTCAGTGTCAGAGTAGTTAACAGATGGAATGCATTAGGCAGTAATGTGGTGGAGGCTGACTCCATACACAGTTTCAAATGTAGATATGATAGAGCCCAATAGGCTCAGGAACCTGTACACCTGTTGATTGACAGTTGAGAGAACGGACCAAAAAGCTGAAACTCAACCCCCCCCGCAAGCACAACTAGATGAGTACACTCACACACTCACACTCATCACTACCGACTTCATCACCCAATCATCACCCCCCTCCCCCCCCCCCCCTCACCATCACCATCACCGGTGGAGACTTGTGAGATAATGACCTAATTAACACGAGAACTGGCACTTAACAACTGAAGAATACAATGGTCGCTTTGACCAGGTTCTAAAGGGATATATATATATATATATATATATATATATATATATATATATATATATATATATATATATATATATATATTATATATATATATATATATACACACAAATATAACTAAGTTTTGTTTCAATATTCGATTGATTTTGGTTTAGAAAGTGTATATCAATCGCAACATGATTTAATAATCGAGGGATTTGGTATATAAATGCTTTTGCTCGATATTACCGAAATGCCCCGGAATTTACTGATGTAATTAATGTTATCATTTTAGACTGCCATTTTAGTGAGGGAATTAGGGGTTATGGCGCCTATTGCATGCCCTAGTGAATAGAGAGAATGAAATAAAGGATAGAGAGAGAGAGAGAGAGAGAGAGAGAGAGAGAGAGAGAGAGAGAGAGAGAGAGAGAGAGTCAGTCTGGAGAATGTGAGTGATAATTGGTGTATAGTGGATAAAGAGGGAAGGGAAGGGAAGGGAAGGGAAGGGAAGGGAAGGGAAGGGAAAGGAAGGGAAGGGGGAAGGGGTACATTAAGAAGGGAGGGGGAGAGAGGAGGGGGATTAAAGTTTATCAAATTATATTTGCAAGTGGAATGCAAGATATATATATATATAAACTGGTGATCATTTAAACACACCTGCCTCGAGGTGTGTTTAAATACACCTGTCTCCTCAACACACCTGCAGTCTCATCAACACACCTACAGTCTCCTCAACACACCTGCAGTCTCCTCAACACACCTGCAGTCTCCTCAACACACCTGCAGCCTCCTCAACATACCTACAGTCTCCTCAACATACCTACAGTCTCCTCAACACACCTGCAGTCTCCTCAGCACACCTGCAGCCTCCTCAACATACCTACAGTCTCCTCAACACACCTGCAGTCTCCTCAACACACCTGCAGCCTCCTCAACACACCTGCAGCCTCCTCAACATACCTACAGTCTCCTCAACACACCTGCAGTCTCCTCAACACACCTGCAGTCTCCTCAACACACCTGCAGTCTCCTCAACACACCTGCAGCCTCCTCAACATACCTACAGTCTCCTCAACACACCTGCAGTCACCTCAACACACCTGCAGTCTCCGTCGGGGAATTGAACACCTAAAGAATCACTTGACCAAAGAAGTCATAGGTTCACGAGAACGGAGCTTTCCTTTTCCTAACATTGACTAAATGACCCAAATTAAGTATTTTCAAGACCTTGAGGTTATCTTGAGGTTATCTTGAAATGATTTCGGGGCTTTAGTGTCCCCGCGGCCCGGTCCTCGACCAGGCCTCCACCCCCAGGAAGCAGCCCGTGACAGCTGACTAACACCCAGGTACCTATTTTACTGCTAGGTAACAGGGGCATAGGGTGAAAGAAACTCTGCCCATTGTTTCTCGCCGGCGCCTGGGATCGAACCCAGGACCACAGGATCACAAGTCCAGCGTGCTGTCCGCTCGGCCGACCGGCTCATCATCATCATCATCATTCTGAGTGAGTACAGGGTTCTGCGGGGCGTCATCCACTTGACTCAA